TATATATATATATATTTCTTGGATAATATTTAAAAAATTAGTGGTATTTTTATCTATAAGTACCTAAATATTATTTAATGAAGGTAAAAACTTAATTCTTTTCTATATGCTTTAAGTATTCCTCGAGTACTTGATAAATAATTCCGAATGCAATAATTTAAATTATAACTTTAGTATATTTTGATCAATTCCAATAATATTTCACATATAATTGTATTTTCATTGAATTGGCGACCTATTATATTACTTAAGATCATAAAGTAATTTTACAAATATGAATACATTGGGTTACACAATCAACACTTATAGGCACAGTTTCTATTTTATTATGTACACAAACTTTGTTTAATGCAACCTATTTATTTAAGAACATTTTATATAAAAGTAATCTTAATTACGAAAATGAGTTTGTAAATCATCTTACAAATTCGAAGTTGTTTTTAAAGTTAAGATAAATTAACGTTTTATTTAAAATAATAGTAAGAAAACATTAGGTAACGTTATAGTGTCTCATGCGCTCTATCACACGTTAGTAGATTTTCTGAGCTAGAGATAAGCTGAGTAATTAAGTTCACTATTTTAAGAGGCCGTAATGGCCAAACAAGCCGCTAAAGCGAAAATAAATTTTAAAAACACAGCACAGAGAAGACCAGTACAAATGGTAACTGACAGTAATTAACATTAATATCATAAAAAAACGCTTCAATGAAAATCTATTAAACGTCATAATAAGTAAAAAATTACAAATTTTTACAGACATATTGCGATTTTTAGCTTTAAAGTTAACTACCTCATAGAAAAAATATAGTAGAACGTTTTTGTTTTTTCAATCATAAAGTACTCTTAAATATCATTAATTTGTTACAAATTTTAAAAACATAGTCATCCCGGAACATTTTCTAAAACCGAAAATTAAGTAATTTTTTTTGTTTATATGGTCAATTTCTCATAAAAGAATCGTTCGGAAATTCTTTTTTATAACATTTTAAAATCTATAATTTATTATAGGTTTAAAAAACATAGTCATTTTTAGACGGAACATAATCATAAGTTAGATTAAAAAAATGTAATGCGTAGGTAGACTTTTTCAAATTATTCCTGTACTTATATTTTTCATTAAATTTTTATGAAATTACATTAAAAAAATGGTCATTGTTCCTACAATATCCAATTAAAATTTCATTAGAATTTTTTTAAATTTATAACAGTTTTAAAATGCATAAAAAATTTTTTAAAAATGTCATTTTGTTTTTTTTAATTTTCGGCAACGATAGGTTTTTACTAGATTAAAATTGACTTGTTTTGAAATACAATTTATTAAAATCGGTCCAGTGAAAACTGAGAACTTTCACGGACAGACATAAATAAACGCACACCATCACAAAACTAATACTTTCTCAGCTTTGCATCGAAGCTAAAATACTTATTATCTAAGATATAGATAAAAACAAAACGGATAATAGTCAATATCAATTAAATTACATACAAATATAATACCACTAGAAGACAAAATTATAAAAGTGAACAAGATAAATATTAAAAATTAATAGAAAAATATTTTATATAAATATTAATATTATATAATTTTAAAACAAACATATTTATAACAAAAAAAAAGCAACGGCATACGTTGAAGATCTTCGTAGTGTGTCGTGATTGAATTAAGTTGGAGGAGTTGAATCTCACTTTGCGAAAATTGCATTTTTTAATATTTAAATAAATATAGTGAACAGACTACTTCTCCACTTAATTCATGCATTCACATAAAATACATAAATGTAGCCGCTGCTATAAATTTAATACAAAATGTACGTTTATCATTAGGCGTGAAAATGTAGTTATAACAAAAATATAGTATTAAGAAGAAAAATAAAAATTAAGCAAATAAATTGTATTAACAAATAATAAATTTTTAATAATAAATAATAACTGAAATAACAAAAAATATTTAGGAAAAATGTAATAACAAAAGTAATTTTCTGGAACAATAAGAGAAAAATATCACAAAAAACCTTACTATCTAAAAGTTGAAAAAACCACCACCGGTCAGCTGGAAGAGTTAGATCTGGCACTAAACCATTAAGCCAAGATTAAACCATGATGCACAAAAAAAAGCTTTAAGTGCCTTGATCCAAACTTCCAACTGAACGGCTCGGTGGATGATGCAAATTAAGAAGAACTGAATATTTTTCATTGACATAAGGAAACTTGATATTAACAATATCACAATATTAACCATAAAAAATAACTTTTTTCGATAATTTGTTATATACTCAGAATAAAAAACACAAAAAATGATACACCAATAGAAATATTAATATAGCTCTTCAGTACCGACCTTTTATACTATAGCAAGCTATAAGAGCGAGGATCAAATAAAAGATAACAGTAAAGCAAATATCGTACGACGAATATGCACGATATTTAAGTACAAGTATGTGTGTTGATGTGTTGTTATCTTTCGAGTGTAGTTGTGCTCGAATATATTAGGATGAAAATAGCATTATATAAAACTTCTAACCTGATAAAGAATACGGTACTTGGACAAGCAAAGCAACATAATAAAACTAATGACGAAATTCTTCAAAACATTATATAAATTATAACATTATAATTGTGAGTAATTTATTTTAAAAATCACTCAAGAAAAATAAGATTTTTAAAATATACATTATCAATTGTAACAAAATAAATAACTGAGAATAAATTAAATAATTTTCAATATAACATTAATAACTTGCATTCATATTAAAAGAAAATAATTTTAAAAAATCTAAGAGTTTTTTTTAATAAACTAAATGGGTTAATTTGGAAAGAAAATAAGCCAATTTTTATTGTAAATGGTTTATTGGACTAAAATTTTGTTTAACGATACAATGGAAATATTCAATATTTTAATAGGATTCAAAAAATTATTTTGAATTTATAGTTATGTAAATTTAAAATTAGATTTTTGACAGTTCTTAATAATAAATATATATGAGGATGTTCTAATAGAAATATTATTTATTAAATTAAATAAATTCATTGTTTTCGTGTTTAGTTAACATTATGCAGTCATTGAAACAGAAACAATTAATAAAATATACCAAGTATTCTAGTTAGTTTGTTATAAGGTTAATTAAACCAATTACATAATATAGATTAATAATCACGAAAAAAAAAAATGATTTTATAATTCGAGATTTTTAATTTACACAGATATACAGGGTGTTCAGTAAGTCAGAAAACGGGTATCTATTGTTCTCATTGTTACAAACAATGAGAACAATAGAAACCCGTTTCCTGACTTACTGAACACCCTGTATATTAACTACCTTAATTTATTTAAAAATACTATTCAAAGGTACATTACAAATTTTTAATAGATACTAAATCCAATGAAGAGCAATTCATCTGCTTTTAGCTAGCAAAAACACTTTTTATAATAAACTTTTTGCTAAAACCTTTTTAACATATTAAATTAATAATATTACAAGTTGATATACAAACTATTGTAAACTCAAGATAGAAACCTAAACTAAAGGATTGACAAATAAACATTTCAAAGAGATAAAAGTCATTGCCTAATTTTACGAAATTACTGATAAAATAAAATATTATAACCGGTTTTTTTTTTTGCGAAAACAAATGACAAAGACAATAGAACAATTTTTAGCTATTTTTAAGAGTGCAGCCATAATAATTTAAACTATTTAAATTCAATATTGGATTAAAAAATTAAATCTCAAGATAAATTATAAATCCCAAAAGACACAAAAAGCATTTTTCAATTTGAAATGTTTATTAATGTTTAAAACATTTATTTAACATTAATATAATATTAAACAGCCCATAAATATTTAATCAACATTATTTTTTGAAATTTGGAACATTATTAAAAATTAAACTTTTAATTCACATTTTTTTATTTTTTTTTCCTCCGAACAAAAAAAAATATTAGATTACAAAAAAATTAGTTTAAAGAAAAAAATGCTTTAAATGCTCTAAAAAAATCTTCAACCTGATCCTTACATTTTTCAAAATTTATTTTGTATAAATGAACAGATAATTAACAATGTATTGAACGTTTATAAATGTCCTTATATTTAATGCTTAATCAAGTTAAAAAACAAAACTCAATATAATCCGGCATATTGAACTTTCGTTAAGATTGAAATCTAATAGTGATAAATATCAATATTACAAAAAGCTACGGTGGGATTGATAAAATGTGCTTTAAATTTATATGACTTGAAGGATGTAG